GCAGCCTGTGGATAGATGATGAACAACCCAACCACCTTGCTGGGTCAAAGAAAATTTAATAAAACAATCCGGCACTACATTTTTTAGAAACAATATCACATAAGTTCTATCTGACCCAAAAAATAAAAAAAGGAAAAAAATTTTAAATTTAAATGGGAAAGAAGTCAAATCATAAAATAAAATTTAAAAAAAAAAAAAAAAACTAAGATGACATTGACAGGTTTTAACGCTAGGCAAAATGTATTCAATCATTAGGATCATTTCCCTCCATCTTTGTTGTTGACGTGGCATTCTATTAAATTAATAATATTTGGATTAATAGCTAAAATAAAGAGCATGGTTGGAGTAAAAACATAAAACAGTTGATAGGCAAAATAAAATATATACTTTATAGTAATATTTAGATAGGTAAAATGCCTACTACTGTTGGAGATGCTCTTAGATCTTCAATTGAGAGGAGAGGCAGTTGGTTCAGTTGTTCTAACCAACTGTTGCTTGACACAACATTTAAAATGTATATATATGTTTTGACACATTTAAATTTCAAATTGAAAAGTAATTTTTATAATAAGTTGTCAACTGTTTGACTTTTTTCCTTGAAATATAAAAGAGAACTCCTCTCTCAAAGTGCAAGACTTGAATTCCCAAACCTCTTAAATGAGGACACTTGGGATGTTCTAAAGGCATCCCCATAGCAACAACTCAATCATAACTACGTTTGACTCGTTTAGTTACATTAAATATATATATGAGGTAATGTTATAATACACATTTTTTAGAAAAAATATGTATTATATGTAAGTTATAATATTTTGTAGTATTAATATTTTAGAGTATTATAACTAAATCATTTTCTGTCATAATTTAAAGATTTTTTTTTTTTTTAATCATAACCAAAGTTACAACTACATAGTTCATAACATAATCATTACATTGTGTGTTATAACTAAGGTCCCGTTAGATTGTTTGGATTGGATATAAAAGTTTAATGTTGTGTTTGGTTGGGGGATTTGAGGAGGGATTTGGAAAGGAAAATGGAAAAGGTAGGTGAAATGAAAATAAAATATGCCTAAATTTCACATAGTTTCACACACCTTTTCCCTTTCCTTTTCCAAATCCCTCTCCAAATCCTCCAACCAAACACAGCATAAGGAGGATATATAATACTTAAGGATAAAAATAGAATATTGTTTGTTTACCATATATAAGGGATGGATATGAAGGCAAGACCGGATATAATATGAAGTGGGTCCCACATGTTTTCTTGTCTCCTTACATCTCGTGTTTGGTTGCTTTAGATATAAAGAGTCCGGATAGTATATGATGCAAAGGGGTGATATGCAATACCAACCCTCCATGGTATTGTATATCCCCACCGTCGGATATAGAGAATCTTTCTTCCAAAGGTTAAAAATAATTATTCTTCTCTTATCTCATTCTATATCACATCTTAACCAAACATAATATAAGTGACTCCACAGTATATATAATCAATCTCATATCCTATAACATATTATATCTCATCTTTATCCGTACGTATTACATATTCTCCTCAAACCCTTATATCCAATCCGAACAATCGAACGAGGCCATAATATGTTGTAAGATATAAGATGAATTATACATATTGTAAAGTCACTTATATTATTTTTGGTTAAGATATGATATAAGATGAGATAAAAGGAAAATGACTATTTTTTCCCTTTAGATGAAAGATTTCTTATATCCGACTGTGGGAGATATACAATACCATGGAGAGTGGTATTGCATATTCCCTTTTACATCATATACTATCCGGATTTCCTGTATCCAAAACGACCAAACACAGAATATAGGGAGACAAGAAAAAATGTAAAACTTACCTCATATTATCCGGTCCCACCCTCATATATGCCCCTTATATACGGTAAGCAAACAGGGTCTAAGGATCATAATCAAATATCACTAGAGGTATAACCAAAGATCTCTTTAGTCATAACTAAAATAAAAATCATAATAGATCATAATTAAATTATAATCAACAACACATTGACTTATAACAAAGTCATAATTAACATTACAAATAATTGTAATAAAAAACCACAAAAGTTATAATTAGAGTATATAATACACACCTTTTTCAAGGCGTGTATTATAGAATTTCTTATATCATTCTATTATATAAAGTCTTGAATTGCTATAGACGTTTCTTTTGTCTCATTTTTTTCCCCCTGCAGATACCCTTAACAGTTTGATAATTGTTAGTAGGAAGAAGCCGACATGAGAGAACTGATTTATATATTCAAAATTTCACAAATGGTTTATTCATCTTCTCCACTGCTAAATTATATATATTTTTGCATACGCATTGCATAATGTTAGTATATTATATATATATAGCAAACACTTGTGTTGGTGTAGATGTCACAAATTTATTATTTATTTTGAAAATGTCACCAAAACGTGGTAACTGCTATAAACAACTTCACTTCTCTCCAATTGCTTCAAATAACTATCATAATTATTAAATCTAATTATAAATTGTACATACGTAATGTGTGCCGACCTCTAATGTGTATATATATATGCCTAATGCCTAAATAAATATTACATATGTAAATAAAGAATATATCAGCATGATGGGTTCATCAGAATTATTATCATACGTTAGTATTTTTATTATTTTCATCAGAGATGAATCCCATTATACTAATGTATATATTCTTAATTTATTTTTTATTTTAATTTTGAAAATGTAAATATACTCAAAAACAAAATAAGGACACGGTAAATTAGTTTATTTTTTAAAATTTGATATTTATGTATATTAGCCGATCCCATTTGATGGAACTTAGGTTTGGTTTGGTTTAATTTAATTTGATATTTATGTATATTGGTAAATTGAATCTCTTTTTCTTGAATGATGCTTATATCCAATCCGGGCAATCAAACGGGCCATAATATGTTGTAAGATATGAGATGGATTATACATACTGTGGAGTCACTTATATTATGTTTGATTAAGATAAGATATAGGATGAGATAAAAGAAGACTGATTATTTTTGACCTTTGGATGAAAGATTTTGTATATCCAATGGTGGGGGATATACAGTACCATGGAGAGTGGTATTGCATATCCCCTTTTACATTGTATACTATTCGAACTCTTTATATCTGGAGCGACCAACCTCATATTATATCAGGTCCCACCCTCATATCTGCCCCTTATATACGGTATACAAACAGGGCCTAAGGATCATAATCAAATATCACTTTAGGCATAACCGGAAATCTCTTTAGTCATAACTAAAATAAAAATCACAATAGATCATAATTAAATTATAACCAACAATACATTGACTTATAACAAAGTCATAATTAACATTACAAAAAATCGTAACAAAAAACCACAAAAGTTATAATTAGGGTACATAAGAGCATCCGCAGCAACTCCCTTATAATAGAGGTTAATTCTTCAAAAATTCTTCCCCAGTTGATCCCTTATTCAACCTCCCAAATTTAAGTGTTGCTACAGTGACTCGCTATTTGTAGGGAGCCACTGTAGCTCCCTCATAATTCATAAATTCTTATTTTGTTTCGTTGAATGCACGCAGGGGATGTCCTTCCAGATGTTTCCCTGGATGTCCCGTGAGTGCCCAGTAACTGAAGAAGGAAAATGTCCAAAATTAGCTTGACCGGTCGACTGCCATTCTTTGTTTTCCTTAACTGTGCTGTTGCTGCTTGCTAGTTTTTGGTTGGTATGTGTTTTCATTATTTTATTATTAAAAAAAATTAAATTTAAAAGTAATTAAAAAGATTATTTTAATAAAATAGAGAAAAAATAGGAAATTTGTTGGGGGAAGTAAATAAAAAAGTGATTCCTAAAATAGGGAATGAATTTTTTAATAATATTTTAAGGTAAAATTTAAGTAGGCTGCTGGGGATGCTCTTTTTCAAGGTGTGTATTATAGAATTTCTTATATCATTCTATTATATAAAGTGTTGAATTTGCTATAGACGTTTCTTTGTCACATTTTTTTTCTCTTGCAAATACCCCTAGCAGTTTGATAATTGTTAGTAGGAAGAAGCTGACATGAGAGAACTGATTTATATATTCAAAATTTCACAAATGGTTTATTCTTCTCCACTGCTAAATTACATATATTTTTGCATACGCATTGCATAATGTTAGTATATATATATATATAGCAAACACCTACGTTGGTGTAGATGTCACAAACTTATTATTTATTTTGAAAATGTCACCAAAACGTGGTAACTACTATAAGCAACTTCACCTCTCTCCAATTGCTTCAAATAACTATCATAATTATTAAATCTAATTATAAATTGCACATACGTGGTGTGTGCTGCCTAAATAAATATTACATGCGTAAATGAAGAATGTATATATCCACATAATAGATTCATCAGAATTATTCTCATACGTTAGTTTTTTTATTATTTTCATTAGAGATGAATCCCATTATGCCGATGTATATATTCTTAATTTATTTTTTATGATTTAATTTTGTATATGTAAATTTACTCAAAAAACAAAATAAGGACATAGTAAAATAAATTTTTTTTTTTTTTTAATTTGGTATTTATGAATATTAGTCGATCACATTTAATGGGATTTAAGACTTGATTTGATTTAATTTAGTTTGATATTTATGTATATTGGTAAATTGAACCTCTTTTTTCTTGAATGATACTTTTAAAATATTTCTTCGAAATGAAGGATTGTTGAAATCCCCTGAGACATGGAAGATCCCATAATTCCAATTCGTTGATATGTTAAAAATTTCAATATAAAATAATTTAAATTCCTCACAACTTCCATTAACTCCTACATAAGATTACAATGTTTGCTAACTCACCAATTATTATTATATTTAAATTGGCGGTGCAATAAATAAATATATTGAGAAAACAGTTAAAGGGTAGTTGACTTTGGTGTGCCTGTTACCTGTATATATGTAGAGACACCAAGTGAGTTATGTGCATTGTTGAAGAGAGAGAGAGAGAGAGAGAGATGAAGTACAATCAAGTGAGATTGAACTGTGGTGCAACCATACCCACTATGGGTTTTGGCACTTATTCCTCTCAAAATGATAGAGAGGAAACCAAACAGGCGGTTCACACTGCTCTTAAGGTTTGTAACATCACAACTTCTACCATAAAGATATGTGCACTAAATATATATAAATGTATATGTAGCATTGTTCTTGTCTACTGAAACTAACCATACAATCAGAAACAACTCTCTCATATGGGTGGATCCCATAAATGGAAGAAAGTTTTGTCCGGTTCTGTAATTGGTTTTGGGAGCATGTAGCAAGGCTGTATGCACCGTAGATTAAACACTAGTGATTCTTTGCCCTCGGATACATCTGCCTCTTTATTCTAAAGCATTTTCAGTCTTAAGATTATGTAAGAATTTCAAAACATGATTCTATGACTAAAATTTCATTGAGATAGAGAAATTTGAGAACAAAATTTCTCGTTTTTGATGAATGGCTTTGTGACTTGGTCTTTAATTTTTATAGCAAGATGTTTTTCGTTTTTTGGATGAAAATGATTTGAAGGAATGTTGTTGTGAACTACAGATGGGTTACAGGCATTTTGATACAGCAAAAATATATGGGTCTGAGGCAGCTGTGGGAGAAGCATTAAGAGAAGCAATTTTTGAAGATCAGATGATTGAGAGAGAAGACATCTTTCTCACTTCCAAACTGTGGGGAAGTGATCACCATGACTCTGTCTCAGCACTCAAGCAAACTTTACAGTAAGCATATCCAAAAATCTATTTATCTTTGACTAATTTTATTTTATTATTTTTTTTTGACACTTCGTCGTAGAAAGTATGTTAGCAGGTTAGTATGTTAAGATTAGCATATTTGAGCGCGTGACACTTTTTTTATTAGCTCGAATCGTAAACATATTTTTAGAAATTCAGAGGTACAATCACGTAGACTATTTTCAAATTTGACTAATGCTATATATAAATAGATGTTTTACTTTTTTTTATTTTTACCGCTAGACATAAGGTAACGAGGTCTATACCAATAGATATGTGTGGTGCTACGGCCTTTGTGTGTAACATTTTTCTTCTTTTATCTTTGTCCTTATATATTAATGAAGGGTTTTGTTAGTGAGAGTTTTGTTAATAAGTGTTTTAACGGCATTGATTAACAAAGTTTCAAATGATTATATATTTTTTTACGCATTCTCATAAAACATGTATGACTATTTCAAGTTTGTTAACAACTCCTTTTAAGACACCTATTAACAAAATCCATTAAGGAAAGTGGGTCTAAGGATTATTTGTTTAAAAAATCTCGATCCCCTATCTCCAATACACTTTTAATCACACAATATGGTTGAAAATTTTGAATTATGAAAAATTCAAATCCTTATCATGTAGTTTGAGTACATTGACACTAGGAAATCAGATTTTCAGGGGAAAAGAATCTCGTGCCATTAAAGTGAATAATTCAAGTTTAGGACATTAATCAGCTGCAACCTACACTAGAGGCTGCTTGTGGGAATATGTTTCCAAAATTTGATGCATGATTTTTCATATTTCAGCAAAATCTCATGAGATTGCACTCTATGGCTTATACTATTAACAAAAGAACAAGTGGATATGAAAAGACTAGGAGATTGTGTGTATCCCAACAGATTTTGCCCTAGATGATAGTCCTTGGAAAACAAGTAAATATTAGGATATTGTGAATCCCAAAATATATATATGCAGATTCCCTGGTTTGTATCATAGTCCAGCAATGCTATGTATTGGGAGGTCTTTATTTATTTTTATTATTTTGGGCCATTGCAAGTTGCTTTTAAAATAGAGTTTTAAAACTCAAAACAGTTTTAAATTTATTTTTCAGAGTCTTTAGGGTTCAAATCATATTTTGAAAATATGACTTCAAAACATGAATTCAAGTTTATATAACCTTATAGTTATGTTTTAAAAACACACATCATGAAACTTGGTTTGAGAAATAAATTTAGAACTGCTTGAATTAAAAAAAAAAATTGATTTAAGCTCAGACATTTTTGTTAAAAAACTTGCTAAGTAAGGGTGGTGTTGGCTGCCACAGTGGTTGTAGGGAGATGGTGCAATACATATTTATTCATATCTATGTATAGAATTATATATATAATGTTGTGTTGTATATATGTTGTAGGAGGTTGGGAATGGAATATGTGGACATGTACCTGGTGCACTGGCCTGTGAAGTTGAAGCCTTGGGCTAATAATGCTGTGCCCAAAGAAGATGAGTTTGAAAGACTACTTGACTTGGAAACCACTTGGGCTGGAATGGAGAGATGCTTAGATATGGGGATGTGTAGGTGTATTGGTGTCAGCAATTTCTCTACCAACAAGATCCAAAGCCTCTTAGATTTTGCTTCTGTCGCTCCTGCTCTCAATCAAGTAAGCTCCTTTTCTTAATTTTTAATTTTAAAGTATCATGTGATATTATTTACGTGCTCTTAATTAATGATATAGTGAAAAACTTTATAGGTTAAATAATGTTGACTCATGTTTATTAAGTAATTGAGAGATATTGAATGATTCACTTAATGTGTATTGTGATTATTTATTTGTTGGGAATACTATATATAATGCTACGTAACAGTAACATGAATGACTCGGGAACTTTCAAGTCATTGAGAAGACATTTTTGTTAAAACCTAATCAGGATTGTTTTAGGATTACAAAATATATACAGATACTAAATGAGATGTATAGTACAATAAGTCAAAAATTGTGATTCAAGAGTGATTTTAAGTGATTTTTTTCTCTCTCTCTCTTGCTCTATTAGATATAGATTTGCAAACATCATCACCATAATTAGTTCATAATCATAATACAATGCGTGTATAGGTGGAAATGCATCCAATGTGGAGGCAAACAAAGCTTAGAGAATTCTGTAGGGATCACAAGATCCATGTCAGTGCATATTCACCCCTTGGTGGGCCAGGGAATTCTTGGGGATCTACGGCTGTGGTTGATAACCCCATCATCCAATCAATTGCTCTCAAGCACCATGCTACCACAGCTCAGGTGAGTCAGATCATAAAATTTTTAAAATCACACAAATTGATCACAGAATTAGACACACGAGACACAAAAAAGATAAATTTCACACTCATGTGAAAATTTGTTTGATTTTATAATTGATTTATATACAAATAAAAGAACTAAACACATGCATCACATCTTACCTTAACACCAAGTTTGATTTGCGACTAATAGAGTGGAATATTGACTAAATAATCTCGTCGTGTTTAATTCAAATCTTATGATTTGAGATGACTCATTCAAACCCTTTTACCCTAGGCTACACATGTGAGATGGTGGGATGGTTTGTCCCAAAAATAACATGTACAGAATGACTAAAATATCTTAATATTATTTATTCTAAAATAAATTTTGTCTACGAATTGTATGTCACCACATGCATTCATGTGAATTACATACAAATGCATTTTTAGGAAAACCTCTTATGTATTATTTCTTAAAAAACTTTGTAGGTTGCCCTAAGGTGGGGATTATCGAAGGGAGCAAGTGTGATCGTGAAGAGCTTTAACGAAGAGAGGATGAAGGAGAACATGGGGGCCCTTGATCTGAGATTGGACGATCACGATTTACTCAATATTGAAAAGATGGAGGAGAGGAAGATTATGAGAGGGGAGTTCCTTGTTAATCAAACAACAAGCCCTTACAAGACCATTCAAGATCTTTGGGATGGTGAGATTTGAGGGAATTTTACTTTAATGTCAAAGATTAATATTTGAATGTCATGATTTATGTATACTACGTTTTTACATGTGTTATATTAGAAAAGGGCAATGCAGTTCTTGAAATCTTTTTGTAGAGGGTGAGTTGCAAAACAGTGTGTGAGCTAGTGTGTCATATTGCTCTAGTACAAATGTCTAAAATGACAAAATAAATAAATAAATAAATAATTCCTTGCACTAAAAACTACACAAAAAATCAATGTGAGGATCACTCATTCAGAGTGTCAGAGTGTAAGTGGATACACATTAACTTCATGTAACATTATCGCCATGGCTTGGGATCACTTTATGTAACCATCCTCTATCATATATTTTTAACCATTAATATGATGTGGCAATATAAAAATAGCATGAAATAGAGCTCATCAAGTGCATTCAATTCAAGTTGTAAATGAATCCCCAAAATAATAATAATAATAATAAATAATAAACAATAAATAATCAAGTTGTAAATGGTCTTGGAAAAAAGGTTGATTAAGATATCACACTTTATCCTGACGGCTGTGTCTTTTGTTATTTGTAATTCTTGTTAGATTGTTTATTTAACCCTGAGTTTTTTTTTTTTTCTTTTTTTCTGATCTGTATATTTACTTTTATTTTGATATAATTGCTTTATATCTTTCTCCGAAAAAACAAAATTACACTTGAATCAATTTTTTTTTTTTTTCCCCTGAATTACCAATTTGAACAATTACCCCTATACCATTGACATTAGTTCATTTTATCCCAATTGTAATGCAATTAATATTTTCAGTGAAATATTATAAATGTTGGTATATGTAATTAATTGAGGGTATTGACTCACTTTACTCCATAATGAGGCGGCAAGTTAGATACCCCACAACAATAATTTTAAAATTATTCAATAAAACAAAAATACAACAAATTGGAACAAACTACTACATCTAAATACAACCAAATTAAGAAAAATACAATTATGGAGTAAAGTACATAACTGAAAAAAAAAAATACAACCAAATTAAGAAAATCATGTTCATAAATATAATTATATGCCGATAGGTGTAATATTTCATAAAAAATATTAACTCCTTTCACAGTTTGAGGTACAGTAAACTAATGTCAAATGTTTATGGGAGTAATCATGCAAATTGAAAGTTCAGGAGGTAAAGTGAAACAAATATGACAGTTTTGAAGAGGGCAAGTGTATTTTTCCCTTTAAATTTTCACAAAGAAAGTAAACTTCCAGATTCTAGGGAGAAATTCAAAGAAAGACGAACATTCAATATCTATAAGCAATCATCTTTAACAAGCCCTACATCTCTTACAATGGTAAACTCTTTGAAAAGGAGACAAATCTCAAATATAATAATTTACCGAACCATTTCATGGGGGCTTCTCCATTTCTACGACGGTCCCATATTATGCCTGTCAAATAAGCTAGGCTGACAATTTCGGCAGCCTCCAGTCTGTCCTTGTCCAGAACTTCCGAGGTTTGATTTCTGGCTTTAACACCATCGGCAGCAACTTTGTTTTTCCTCATTGGTCCGAACAAGCAAACTACAAGGAACATACAAGTAGTTACAAAACCAAGATGAAAATATTAAACGAGTAAATGGCTATTGGCCAAATGGACCATGTCAGACTGCACAAACTGCGCAACCGGTTAGGGTGCCAATTCAAAACATGATAATCTTGGCACGTGTTGCATTCCCACGAAAGTAAAAGAATAGATGGATAAAGGTGATGTCTTGGGTATATAGGTTGACCTAATTATGTTCTACCATCAGTTCATATTAATTATTTACTGGCAGGCATGCAAATTTCAGCTAAAACATTCAAAATCAAAATCAACGCAATTTGTATCCATGTAAGGCACTAATCAATTTCTGACATTCTTCTCTTAATCAATATTCTGTATCAATTTTTTCCCTCCATCCTCTGTTTTTTGTTTTGGTTAATTTTTTATTTTTAAATATTGAATTGGTCTTATCATTAGTATAATCTTAACTCATTTGTATAATCTATATGTGAGGCTTAGCATGAATACATATGGAAAAAGGTATTTGCAGATAGGCATTGTACAAGACAAGATATTTAGAGTCTTTCCGTACCTCTTACGTATGGCATACAATCTAATTCCCAGCTGGCTGCTTAGCGCTTCCATCAGAAACAGACAATATACCTTGCTCAATACACTGACCGAGAAACCAATATCAAAAGAAGTTTCAGAACAACAGGATAAGCTTATGAACAGAATATTAATACAGGATTTACAGTATAACTTGGCTAAAAAGATGGTTCCCACATGTCAAATCTAAGTAATGAAAATTTAATGATTTCAGCAGTTCATCTATTTTAAAAACGTTAACAACAAAAATCATTAAATAGCTCTGAATGTTTAAATAGGAAGCATTAAAAAAAATCACTAGGTGTAACATTTTGAATTCAATATACGTTAGCTATGGAATTCCAGGTGAAATTTCGACAACTATGTAATTATTTTCCGGAGCATTTTCACAGCAGTAAAACAATTGATTGTTCCAACTTTATTGAAAATAAAGGTTCAACTATTTATCAACAAAAGTGAACTGCACAACCCTTCCCCAACTATATTGGAGAGGGAGAGAAATAAGAAGGAAAAAAAAAAGCAAAAATAAATATTTAGACTTGATTTAGATTAAGTGCTGCAACCCAAGAGTACAAACAGCCTCTATGATCATCTTGTTAAACAACAAACATAATGTATTGGAGCTCCTAAACCAGTGTTGACAGTCAATGGCGATGTGGGTAGACTGTGGGACCTCTGAGAATCATGGTAGGCACTCTCACATGGCTAAGAACCACCTGATATGGTGAGAGAGTTGAGGTAGTAGAGAGAGAATGATAGTAGGGGGGTGAAGCCTCACGGCGAAGGTATTGGAAAGTGAGCTTTCCTCAAGGGCATGTTTATGTATAGAGGTGGAACCTCCTTTTAAAGGAGATTTGGGCCAAGGAGATCAGCTTAGCCTTGGGGGTTGTGTCAAAGGCTGTAGGGGTTAGGTATGATACACTTTCATGAGGTGTCACATGCTTTGGTAAAAAAAGACTCCTCTTTCTCTTTTGTTGGGTCAAAATGGAGCCACCTCGAGGTGAGTCTGGAATCGAGTAAAACCTTGGTGAGGTGGAGTGAGCAAGCAGCCAAGCGGGTGAGATACATGACGCCAAGTCAAGTGAGGCAGTCAAGATAAGTGAAGTCATGAGGCAAGGCGTTGGCTAGGCGAGGTGCTTAGGTGAAATGTGGAGCCAACCCCTTCTAGGTGATGACATGTCTGGTCACGTGGGGTGCAGAAACCAACACCAATCACAGTGGCTATAAAATACTAGTGTAGTTTTAAGACCAGCAAGTGGGGCCACTACATTTATCAATTTCTTCCAGATTAGAGAAGCATATACCTGGTCTGAACAGTTCAGGCAAATAAAGGGTTAGAAGACAAACATACCTGAAGAAGATGACTATGTAGCCAATCCAGTGTTTGTGGAAATGTTGTTGCTGATATATTGACAACTGTTAAACCCTGTTCACGAGGGTAACAAAAAACTCACAAAATAAATAAATTAAAAAGATTAAGGATAAAGTCAACATTATTTTTCATCATCATCCATAAATTGCAAGAGTCTAGCTGAAAACCAGGAATCCTGGGTTCCACTGAAGCAGTATTTTTTAGAGTTTTTCTCACTTTTGTTTTCCCCAAACATATTTCCCCCCTCAAATCTAACGATCATTCATCAAACGATTTGCTTACAGCAATACTCAAACTTTACCATCTGATTTAACTTTTACAAAATTCGATAAGCTAGCAAGAAATAAAAGCACCACCACACTTATGTTCATTGATATTTTTGACAGAATTCTGAGATTCTCTTAATTACTTTGGTTGACAGCCTATCCCTCCATCCTCTGTTTTTTGTTTTGGTTAATTTTTTATTTTTAAATATTGAATTACAAAATTGAGTAGACTATTGATTCCAAAATGCCCTCAGCATACTCATCATGATGTGCATAACTACTACTATATCCCTTTATTTACATATCATTTACTGAATCCTCAAGAACATGGAAAGATAATGAGAAAACCAGGTCTCAACATCTTAGCATACCTGTGACTTGAAAGAGCAAAGATAGTCCTGAATCGTTTTTAGGTTGCTTATTAGCTTATCTTTGTCCTGAAAGGAAAAACAAAAACAGAAATATGTTAGAAAAGCAATTTTGATTTCGTTGCCAGTCCATGGGCATTATTTCAAGTCACTCATTCTAAAGGTAAATGAAACAACATGAGTCAATTAGTGCAAATTAAATCTTTTTGTTACTAAAGGTCCAGCTTAAATTAATGATCATGAGTCAAAAGAACCGACATAACAAATACGAGATGTTATGGGTTTAGTCCATCAGCATGCCCCGTTAGGTGGGGCCTAGAATTTGCACTTAAATACAGATATGTGTTCAATGTATTGAGTCCACTACAATATACATATAAAACCATGCTGCCTGTGCACTGTGTATACATCCGAAATTTGGTTAATGGCCATGTCCGACACCCTGAAACACTATAAAATTACGACACTGTTCTCAATGTCCATGAAAATGGGAGTTCAATCAACCAATGTTGTCCAGTTAGAAGCAGCATCCCAATTCGAGCAGCAATAACATGTTATTTCTTGGTTCTCATAAAAATAAACAGAACCAGCAAAAGCTGGAAAGAGAGACTACAGTAGATAGTTCAAAAAGAATTTATTGAAAGTTAATAGGCTTAAGAACTTATAAAGAAGTAAATAAACCTACATTTTGAAAGTGGATTAAAGATGATTTCATGAACTTAACAAAACACAGAAAAAAGCAATCTTTGTTTTAAGTATGGCTCTTTTTTTTTCTTCTTTTTTTTCCCCCTGCCCCCACACATCATGCAGACATTTCAAAAAATACTCGAAGGAAAACAAGTGTGATAACTCTAAAGGCCAAAAACCATGAAGCATAACATCGAGCATAGTCCACATATTGACAGTTCTACAATACATATGAAAATTCAGAAATGTTGGATACCTGAATTAGACATTTGTCGCTGAATGTTCGAGTAGATATCCACTCCTCTAACAATGCCTGCACATAAGAGAAACTGATATATTTGAAAAAGTTGATGAAAGAGAGGAGAAATAACAAGAAGAAAATTGAGTCACCATCTCAAGATAACAGTGAATACCTCGAGGTGAGTCTGGGATCGAGTAAAACCTTGGTGAGGTGGAGTGAGCAAGCAGCCAAGCGGGTGGGATACATGACACCAAGTCAAGTGAGGCAGTCAAGATAAGTGAAGTCATGAGGCCTCCCCCACCTTCTTTCTCTCTCCACCCTTTGCAAGGCAACCCAAAACAATTCAGTTTCAACTGGCTCAGAACTTCAAGCAATACCCTGTCCTTCGTGCAAAATGAGAAATAAATCACCTGAGACACTTTAGATCATATGTGACTACAAGCTATTAACCATAAAATACGAGTACCAAAAAAAAACAAATCTAAAGTGACTTGTCCCTCCTTAATTTTATTGGCTAAATCAATGGCTTTCGTTCCATAACACAGCAGACCATTCATTTAATCATACTGCCAATATGCCTTGAACGAGAATAGAGTACAGCAGACCATTCATTTTATTTCAAATGACAACAAGGGTTAAAATGGCATGCCAAGTCAGTGATGATGACAATTCAAATTCCCCTCTTTCCTGAAATAATCTTGTGTCTTATCCTTTCCCATCATGGTATCTGTGCTTTGATAGCAGCTCAAAAATATACTTAAAAATAAAGGAAGAAGACTCACATGGTCACACTAACCAAAATGTTAAAAACCACCTACTCTCCACCTACTTCACCCACTTAAACCTACTCCACTAAACCTAACCCACTACACCACTACCACCTCACCTACTCCACTAAACCTAACCCACTACACCACTACCACCTCCACTTCACCTACTCCTTACCTACTACACACTCACCCTCTTCTATATATAGGAATCATGAATCATTGTAATAGATATCAATAAACATCAATCAATAATACATAAATTTTTACACAAAATGCAAATGAATGCAACCAAGTTTTAACCTTCTTAGTTGCTTTAAAATATATCACAAACAATAACAAAGAAAAAAGGAATTTGGTCTCACCTTATGGTCAAATTCAGCCATCTTTAGGACTATAGGTACAATTATTGGTTCAGGACCAGACTTTTCTTTTCTAACAGGGGGATTTGTGTCTGTCTCCGGGCCTTTAATTGTTTCACCTACATGGCCAGAAATGTTACAAACTCAATCCACCCATGTTGCACATTTCAATCATTTTTTGTCAAATATGAAAAACGAGAAAAACATAGTACAAGAAAGCCAAAAGCCAAAACAGAGAATTAAATACATTAACAGAATAGAGAGTATAGCGATCCCGGTTTTTACCCGACTCTTGTGATGTTCCGGGCTCGGATTTAATGCTTTCATATTGTTGTTTATCTCTTGTTTCCCCTTGTATCCCTTTAGGATTGGCTTTCGGGTTGTGGTTGTGCGTTTGGAACAGGTTAGTTGCCCCTTTTTCCAAACCTTTTATTGCCCAGATTTTGGCTCTCCCGCTCGAGCGGGCTTCACAAATTTTGTCTCTCCGCTCGAACGGCTATTTTTGCGCTCGAGCGGGATTCGTCAACTCTCAATATTTCTTTTGTAGGTTTGAAAATACTGAAAGTGTGCATTGGACGCTCGAGCATCTAATTTTACGCTCGAGCGGGGACCTTCGTCTGCAAATATTCTGAAAGTGCGTATTCTACGCTCGACCACCACTTTTCACGCTCGAGCGAAACTTTGTGTCTGACGCTCGAGTGGGGCTTTCTACGCTCAAGCAGACGGTGTGTATAACTGTCCGTGAAGATGGTGTTTGATTCACTTTTTCATTTCTTTCTCTCTGTAAAACTCTCCAAAAACCTAGATCTACACTTTCTCTCTAAAACTCACCCTCATTCTTAAGATTTCATCTAGATGCATTGATCTTTTCACCCTAGTGCCTTTGAGAAAAAGGTGGAACTTTTCAAGATCTTCATTTTCATCCGATTGGAAGTTGGGTTCGTCATTGTTGGCGTTTCATCTTTACTTTGCTCGGTCTTCTAGCTTGAGATAGGGATCTTTTATACTTTAGTATGAGTTTTAACCTAGTTTTTTGTTATCATGTATAAATAGTGGAAATTTTGAAAGTTTTTGGGTAAACTTAGGGTTTGGTCTCAAATTGAAAGAGGGGGTTTTATATTGTGCTCCATAGATGATTATGGGGTTTTGAATATGAGGATGTCTTGTGTTAAAATGATGAATTTTAGCCTTTGGGTTAATAATTGAATAAGGGAGAGATTTAACCTAAATGTGTCTTGAATATTATTTTGCATAAATAATGAAATTGATGTGAAAAATGAGAAATTGGGAAAAGGCGTGAATGAATGGTGTAGTTGGATTTGTTTAATCACTCAATCATGGAAATTTGATAAATTATCTGCTATAAAGATTGTATATCTGTTTAGAAATATCTGTATCGGGCTATCGGAGGAGGATACCTATGATTGTTGTAGAAATTGAATGAGGATTAGGCGAATTGAAACTAATCATTTAAGTTTGTCATTGAACATGATGGTATGATTAAGGCATTAAATATGCGTTATGGATAGTCATTGTATATGACGACGAATTTAAATATATTGTATATGTATAATGTTTTGGGAGAAGAAAGGGGATGTACTCTATTGTTTGGGAGGAGATAGGGGATGGACTCCATTGATAATTAAGTTGGCTGGAGTGTCCAAGGCGAAAGTCTCGAAATCTTGTGTATACATGGGTGCCGATCCCGCGGACAAAATTTTCGTAAAATGACAAGGTTGAAGTGTTTGTATGATAGTTATGTTGATAGAGAACCATTGAAATTTGGAGAATTATATATATTTGTCTTGTGACATGAAACGAAATGAATTAACTTGAAATGAGTAAATGAGAATGGATCGAGATGTGAATATCAGTATTGAATGGTCATGGGAAGGATATAAGTTGGTCATGAATATTAAACGTTTATCTGACGCTTATATCTTAGTTAAACTTCATATATTGTATTAGATTGTTTCTACTGGGCTTTGGCTCACCTTACTTGGGAAATCATTTTCAGGTACCGGTGACATGCTTCCTCCAAGAACGTAGCTTGAAAGGACTTAGGAGCTGGAGCCTCTATTTTGTCATTTTAGTGTTCAAATGCTTATTCAAGCCAAGGGCTCTATATGTATAGAGTTTAGGACTCTCTTTTGTTGTAACAAGTGATATCTTGGAAAGATATAAGCCCTTAGGGCATTTATTTTGTTGTTATTAACCAATGTTACATGCTATAGACTTAGGATGACCATTTATGAATGTATAATGCATGTAATACCTTTTGTAATATAAACTCTGATGAACGAAAGTATATCCATTCTATTGTGCACTCTTTTCTTATGGATGAGTTAATTGTATTTTTTTTTTTTTGTGGGGGAGGGGTGTTACAACTTTGAATCAGAGCGTATCAAGTTTGAATACTTTGGGTACGTGGGAAGTGGTTAGTAACACAATGGGTTTGTCTCGTTTGTTAAAGACTTAAAGTATAGACGATATGTGTTTATATGATAACATGATTATTGATTATATGGGTATGAGATTTAGTTCTTAAGATGTTGATTGGATCTACGGGTTTCTAAAAGTTCTATTAAAAGAGCACTTGATCACTGCTGTTTCTAATTAGAACTCTAACAACGCCACAGGACAGTCATTATCTAAGAATGAAATTCGTATGTATCTATGTGATTGTGTGTTTATGTGGAATGAGTTACTATTGTCCACCGTATTAGGACGCGAGTGAAATAGCTTCGACACATTTGTAAATGTGCTAATTTCTTTTGTTACCTCCATTAGAATGTCAGGACGTGGACGTGGTGGTGATAGGCGTGGTAGGCGAGAGATGCCTATACGGGATGAAATTCCGGCACAGGAGGAGGGAGTTGGTCAGGCCAATGTAGCTGAGCCGGTTAGTCAACAGGCCATGGGTGCCTTAGCCCGTGAGATGGCCAGAGCATTGCGGGAATCTATGGACATTCTTAGGGCTAAGAATCAAGTCCAGACCCAAGTAGCTGAAACAGGGCCGTCTTTTCTGAAGAGGGAGTTCTTCCGGTCGAATTCGAACGAGTTTTTGGGTGATCTTAAGGAGCCACTGAAGGCCGATGAGTGGCTAGAATAGATAGTGAAGATGTTTGAGATGCTCAGCATCGAAGACGGAGGTTTGAGAGTGACCTTAGCGTCTTTCCAGCTGAAGGGAGATGCGGGTCAGTGGTGGAAGTATGCGTGAGAGCGCATTGGAGGGACTTGGGAGGTTTTTGTCGACGCCTTCCAGGACAAGTACTTGCCTGCTGCAATTAGGGAGAAGTTGAGGGATCAGTTTTCTCAGCTCAAGCAGTTGAACACATCAGTGGTTGAGTTTGAAGCCACATTCACTAGCCTGTCTAGATTTGCTCCAGAGTTGGTGGTGACTGAGGAGCTCCGTTGCTTGGAGTTTGAGAAGAAATTGAGGACCAGACTCATGTTTAGAGTGGCTGGGTCCATGATTAGGGACTATGGGCGCCTTGTGGAGGCTGTAGCCCATCTTGAGACTATCATGCATGCAGAAGAGAAGAGAATGAGGGGCTCTAGGAGGACTCAGGATAACCAGGGAGATAGTAAGAGGCAGAGGGGCTCCAATCCCCAGCAGTCCCAGGGAGTGCATTCGAGGTCTACCTTTCCAGTGCCAAGTTCGGGTTCTGGAAGAGGTGGTCAGGGAGACATCACTTGTTTCAAATGTGGTCAGTTGGGCCACAAGTCTCCAGCTTGCCCACAGAGGGGAGGAAGACCGCGAGCAACTTCATCTTCGGCTTGTTCTCAGGGCTACAGTCAGGGTAGAGGCCAGCCGCTCACTTGTTATTAGTGTGGACACGCGGGGCACTTGAAGAGATTTTACCCACAGTTGGGTGTGTTAAAACCTATCACCTACTTCACCCACTTAAACCTACTCTACTAAACCTAACCCACTACACCACTACCACCTCCACTTCACCTACTCCTTACCTACTACACACTCACCCTCTTCTATATATAGGAATCATGAATCATTGTAATAGATATCAATAAACATCAATCAATAATACATAAATTTTTACACAAAATGCAAATGAATGCAACCAAGTTTTAACCTTCTTAGTTGCTTTAAAATATATCACAAACAATAACAAAGAAAAAAGGAATTTGGTCTCACCTTATGGTCAAATTCAGCCATCTTTAGGACTATAGGTACAATTATTGGTTCAGGACCAGACTTTTCTTTTCTAACAGGGGGATTTGTGTCTGTCTCCGGGCCTTTAATTGTTTCACCTACATGGCCAGAAATGTTACAAACTCAATCCACCCATGTTGCACATTTCAATCATTTTTTGTCAAATATGAAAAACGAGAAAAACATAGTACAAGAAAGCCAAAAGCCAAAACAGAGAATTAAATACATTAACAGAATAGAGAGTATAGCGATCCCGGTTTTTACCCGACTCTTGTGATGTTCCGGGCTCGGATTTAATGCTTTCATATTGTTGTTTATCTCTTGTTTCCCCTTGTATCCCTTTAGGATTGGCTTTCGGGTTGTGGTTGTGCGTTTGGAACAGGTTAGTTGCCCCTTTTTCCAAACCTTTTATTGCCCAGATTTTGGCTCTCCCGCTCGAGCGGGCTTCACAAATTTTGTCTCTCCGCTCGAACGGCTATTTTTGCGCTCGAGCGGGATTCGTCAACTCTCAATATTTCTTTTGTAGGTTTGAAAATACTGAAAGTGTGCATTGGACGCTCGAGCATCTAATTTTACGCTCGAGCGGGGACCTTCGTCTGCAAATATTCTGAAAGTGCGTATTCTATGCTCGACCACCACTTTTCACACTCGAGCGAAACTTTGTGTCTGACGCTCGAGTGGGGCTTTCTACGCTCAAGCAGACTGCGTGTATAACTGTCCGTGAAGATGGTGTTTGATTCACTTTTTCATTTCTTTCTCTCTCTAAAACTCTCCAAAAACCTAGATCTACACTTTCTCTCTCTAAAACTCACCCTCATTCTTAAGATTTCATCTAAATCCATTGATCTTTTCACCCTAGTGCCTTTGAGAAAAAGGTAGAGCTTCTCAAGATCTTCATTTTCATCCGATTGGAAGTTGGGTTCGTCATTGTTGGCGTTTCATCTTTACTTTGCTCGGTCTTCTAGCTTGAGATAGGGATCTTTTATACTTTAGTATGAGTTTTAACCTAGTTTTTTGTCATCATGTATAAATGGTGGAAATTTTGAAAGTTTTTGGGTAAACTTAGGGTTTGGTCTCAAATTGAAAGAGGGGTTTTTATATTGTGCTCTATAGATGATTATGGGGTTTTGAATATGAGGATGTCTTGTGTTAAAATGATGAATTTTAGCCTTTGGGTTAATAATTGAATAAGGGAGAGATTTAACCTAAATGTGTCTTGAATATTATTTTGCATAAATAATGAAATTGATGTGAAAAATGAGAAATTGGGAAAAGGCGTGAATGAATGGTGTAGTTGGATTTGTTTAATCACTCAATCATGGAAATTTGATAAACTATTTGTTATAAAGATTGTATATCTGTTTAGAAATATCTGTATCGGGCTATCGATGGAGGATAGCTATGATTGTTGTAGAAATTGCATGAGGATTAGGCGAATTGAAACTAATCATTTAAGTTTGTCATTGAACATGATGGTATGATTAAGGCATTAAATATGCGTTATAGATAGTCATTGTATATGACGACGAATTTAAATACATTGTATATGTATAATGTTTTGGGAGAAGAAAGGGGATGTACTCTATTGTTTGGGAGGAGATAGGGGATGGACTCCATTGATAATTAAATTGGCCGGAGTGTCCAAGGCGAAAGTCTCGAAATCTTGTGTATACATGGGTGCCGATCCCGCGGGCAAAATTTTCGTAAAATGACAAGGTTGAAGTGTTTGTATGATAGTTATGTTGATAGAGAACCATTGAAATTTGGAGAATTATATATATTTGTCTTGTGACATGAAACGAAATGAATTAACTTGAAATGAGTAAATGAGAATGGATCGAGATGTGAATATCAGTATTGAATGGTCATGGGAAGGATATAAGTTGGTCATGAATATTAAACGTTTATCTGACGCTTATATCTTAGTTAAACTTCATATATTGTATTAGATTGTTTCTACTGGGCTTTGGCTCACCTTACTTGGGAAATCATTTTCAGGTACCGGTGACATGCTTCCTCCAAGAACGTAGCTTGAAAGGACTTAGGAGCTGGAGCCTCTATTTTGTCATTTTAGTGTTCAAATGCTTATTCAAGCCAAGGGCTCTATATGTATAGAGTTTAGGACTCTCTTTTGTTGTAACAAGTGATATCTTGGAAAGATATAAGCCCTTAGGGCATTTATTTTGTTGTTATTAACCAATGTTGCATGCTATAGATTTAGGATGACCATTTATGAATGTATAATGCATGTAATACCTTTTGTAATATAAACTCTGATGAACGAAAGTATATCCATTCTATTATGCACTCTTTTCTTATGGATGGGTTAATTGTATTTTTTTTTTTTTTTTTTTTTTTGTTGGGGGGGGGTAAGGGTGTTACAACTTGGAATCAGAGCGTATCAGGTTTGAATACTTTGGGTGCGTGGGAAGTGGTTAGTACCACAATGGGTTTGTCTCGTTTGTTAAAGACTTAAAGTATAGACGATATGTGTTTATATGATAACATGATTATGTGATTATATGGGTATGAGATTTAGTTCTTAAGATGTTGATCGGGTCTACGGGTTTTTAAAAGTTTTATTAAAAGAGCACTTGATCACTGCTGTTTCTAATTGGAACTCTAACAACGCCACAGGACAGTCATTATCTAAGAATGAAATTCGTATGTATCTATGTGATTGTGTGTTTATGTGGAATGAGTTACTGTTGTCCACCGTATTAGGACGCGAGTGAAATAGCTTCGGCACATTTGTAAATATGCTAATTTCTTTGGTTACCTCCATTAGAATGTCAGGACGTGGACGTGGTGGTGATAGGCGTGGTAGGAAGAGATGCCTATACCGGATGAAATTTCGGCACAGGAGGAGGGAGTTGGTCAGGCCAATGTAGTTGAGCCGGTTAGTCAACAGGCCATGGGCGCCTTAGCCCGTGAGATGGCCGGAGCATTGCGGGAATCTATGGACATTCTTAGGGCTAAGAATCAAGTCCAGACCCAAGTAGCTGAAACAGGGCCATCTTTTCTGAAGAGGGAGTTCTTCCGGTCGAATTCGAACGAGTTTTTGGGTGATCTTAAGGAGCCACTGAAGGCCGATGAGTGGCTAGAATAGATAGTGAAGATGTTTGAGATGCTCAGCATCGAAGACGGAGGTTTGAGAGTGACCTTAGCGTCTTTCCAGCTGAAGGGAGATGCGGGTCAGTGGTGGAAGTATGCGTGAGAGCGCATTGGAGGGACTTGGGAGGTTTTTGTCGACGCCTTCCAGGACAAGTACTTGCCTGCTGCAATTAGGGAGAAGTTGAGGGATCAGTTTTCTCAGCTCAAGCAGTTGAACACATCAGTGGTTGAGTTTGAAGCCACATTCACTAGCCTGTCTAGATTTGCTCCAGAGTTGGTGGTGACTGAGGAGCTCCGTTGCTTGGAGTTTGAGAAGAAATTGAGGACCAGACTCATGTTTAGAGTGGCTGGGTCCATGATTAGGGACTATGGGCGCCTTGTGGAGGCTGTAGCCCATCTTGAGACTATCATGCATGTAGAAGAGAAGAGAATGAGGGGCTCTAGGAGGAGTCAGGATAACCAGGGAGATAGTAAGAGGCAGAGGGGCTCCAATCCCCAGCAGTTCCAGGGAGCGCATTCGAGGTCTACCTTTCCAATGCCGAGTTTGGGTTCTGGAAGAGGTGGTCAGGGAGACATCACTTGTTTCAAATGTGGTCAGTTGGGCCACAAGTCTCCAGCTTGCCCACGGAGGGGAGGAAGACAGCGAGCAACTTCATCTTCGGCTTGTTCTCAGGGCTAGAGTCAAGGTAGAGGCCAGCCGCTCACTTGTTATTAGTGTGGACACGCGGGGCACTTGAAGAGATTTTACCCACAGTTGGGTGGCACACCTGATGCGTTTGGCTCGAGGCAGACACAGACTCACCAGCCAGCACAGTCAGCACAGGCCTTGAGGACCAGACATGGAGCTTCTTCGACTCAGTCAGTGCAACAGGCTTATGCTCCGAGGGGTGAGCAGGTAGATCAGAGGCCAACAGGGCGCGTGTATGTTGTTATCGTGCCAGATCTTGTACCTGCTCCTTCTGTAGTGAGAGGTATCTTCTTGTTTTGCAATTTAGTTGCTAGTGTGTTGATTGATACGGGTGCATCCCATTCATTTATTTCGTCTGCATTTGCATCGATTTTGGAGTTGGAGTTATGAAGCACGGATACTTCAAATAGGGTGACGTATCCGTATCGTATCCGTATCGGATACTGATACTCCTTAGATACTCGCGGATACGTATCGGATACTTATTAAAAGTATCGGATACTTCTTAATTATTTTTTCATTAATTTTGGAGTATTGGATACTTAATTTTGAAGTATCGGTTACTCTAAGTCATGTTTACTTGTTTTATGAAATTAAAATTGTAACATTTCTTGCATAGTAATATAATATAATATAATTGCAAGTATAACTATCAGAATATTTTTCTAATACTTTGTTAAGTTCTTCGATAAGAAGAGCATAGTGATTAAATAATAGAATTTATCAAATTGATGTATCCTAATTATTTTATGCATGTCCTTATATAACTACATAGAAAGTAAGAATTAATAAGAGAATATAACAATGGTAAAATTAAATATCAATAAATAAATAAGCAAGTAAACTTGAATACAATATTTTTCACTAATGTCAAAGGAAAAAGCATATGGACAAGTTGTGAATTGTTCTATTATTGTAATATAAATATATTAAACTTGATATTGAAATGAAATATTTGCAAGGCCTATTAAAAATTTAAAAAGTAAATAAGCTACTAACTTAAATTAATACAAAATTCTTGAATGTTAGTATTTTGCATTATAAAATTACATTTTGGTTTCTCAACGTTCTTTAGCTTATGTGTAACTCACTATTAATAATTTTAAATAATATATTTTTCACAAACGTATCCTAACCGTACCGGTATCCTATTTTTTTAGGTTTTGTCATATCGTCGTATCCGTATCGTGTCGTATCCGTATCTCGTATCCGTATCTATGCTTCCTAGGGTTGGAGTTGGCACAGTTAGCATCTCCTATTTGTGTAGAGTCACCTATTGGTGGTGAGGTTATTCTG